TGAAATTTTTAGTCACATGTGGTAGAAGGAAAATATGTAATTCAGCACTCTTAAAGAAGCTTTGATAAGCAGAATGTAATGAACAACCAGAACAAACAAGAGCACATGAAGCTGTCTTTGTGATCACTGTTGCCATCACTACTGCTCTCTCTCCTCCATGTCGCTTTGATTGGTGCAAATTCAATCCAACTCGTCTGAAAATTTTTGAGCATACAGTCAAAGCAAACAAAAAACCTCTTGACTATATTGAATATCCGAAAACATAGTTTTGGCATGCGTCCTTGTGTGTGTGTGTGTGTGTGTGTGTGTGTGTGTGTGTGTGTAATCTGGAGTGTGTGAGTGGCGTCTCATATCAAGTAGGAAAATGTATGTTTGTACACTCCTGCTACTGCACGTGTGTGTGCATACGTTTAACAACATGTTCTGTTCATTATGCTACTTAGCTTACACAAGTAACAAGGTACTCTTTATCCATAAAAACACACACACACACACACACACACACACACACACCCCGCTCTAATGCGCGCCAAGATTTTTGCTCCCGCCGTGTATGAGTGTGTGTATGTCTTGTGGTCTTGTGGTTTGTTGACATAGCCAAACAGGCAGCTCTCACATTGAGAGGGGGCATTTAACTATTAGCTGAAACGTTGCTTTGTGTGCGCACACACTTCTACACACACACACACACACACACACACACACACACACGTGCACGCACACACACAGACAGGGTATTGATTGAGGAAAGGTAACAGGCTTGTTACAGATAGAGGCCTATTTGTGTGTGGCAGACAGTGCGTTTCATTTACTCTCTTTTTCTTGCTAATAGGCTCCTATTTAATTATTAGATAAGGGCCACCAAAGAGACTGACCACACACACTGACATCCACACATCTACAGAGATTTTTTTTTTGTATTGCCGTTTTGTCAGTCTGGGATACGACAAACAACATGTTAATGATTTAAACTCGTGTAAATGAGCAATCGGATCTATTTCCAGGGCGTCTGCAAATGAGCTGCCTCGATAAATTAGATGGAGATCTTCCTTTGTGTTTTTTAGTCTTCTGTCAATCATCTGTTTCTCTATCTTAGCGTCTGATTGTCTAAATCTACTAAGAGACGTCCATCATATGCCTATCGATTGGACACACATGCATGAACTCTGCATCTCCATAACTCATGTATTGATTAAACTTCAGAAAATAAAAAGTGCCGACCCATCACTTTGATTAATGCTTTACATGCTCATCTTCTTTCTTGACACGATGTACGAAGATATTCGAATAAAACTTCCTGCATGTAAATCAACTGCTGAGACGGGTTTGTTGTGTTCCTTTAAACAACTGCAAATGCTGCATCTTTACAGACTAGGTGTTGAATGTTATGGCCCTGAGCGCTCAGCAATAGCATCTTTCAAGAGAAGGTAATTTTAGAGAAAAGATTTTGTGTCAGGGAGCAGCGAAGACTTTATACAGAAGAGGATAAAATACCAGAAAAGTGATGCATCCAATTCTTCTTGACTGTCTCTGATCTTCACTCTCTAACCCAAGTTAAAATAGCACAAGATGATCTTTACCCTTCACCAAGTCAGTCTGTAACTTGTGCGGAAAAAGGGCGAGAGCTTCCAGAGTTACAGAGGAGGCGGTCTGGTTAAAAGCAGAAAGGTAGTTACAGTTATCAAGTGAGTTGGCACCACCTAGCACAGATGTTTTTGTTGAATTACAGAGCTCTCACTGACACCACACCTACACTTAAGCTGACAATAAGCTCACAACATCACACTCTGTCATTTTAATCCCACCATCAGTCTCAAGGGCCCCGAGAAAAGCCAGAGTTTATGAACAATTTCTATCTAATGGCCTTTGTCAGATAAAGTGCTTCATGCTTTCTGGGAAGTTTAGAAAAAAAATATGTTATGCCAGGGTCAAAGGAGGTTTCAGCACAGATTTGTATCAGGGTGTGTGTCTTTTGCTTGTTAACTTTGATATTTAGACCAGAGAGGTATGTCAGGAGATTTCGGGCGGCTTTGCTCTGCACAAGTGGTTCCAATTAGCCTGGAAAAAACACACATACACACACAATACACACTTGTACATGCACAAACATCCATGCACGCAGGTACCGGTAACTGCACAAAACAAATTGGACAAATATACCGATGTCCACACACTGTAATCGCTCGCACACACGCATACATGAAAATTAACCAGATAAGCTCTAACAGAGTGACTGGTAAGGGCTGAGCGAGAAGGATTGATATTATTATTTTATTGTATAATTTTTGTATAATATTTTGTGTTGCATCTTGTGTATGACTTTTGCTAAAGTTGTTATTGTTGTTGTTGCAGTAAGAATAAGGATGAATGTACTTCTAGGGTATGTTTCTCATTTTTTTAGGCATTCTAAAGGCTGAAATCATGTTTCGTAGAATGCTTTTATCTCAAAGTCTTCTGAGAGATGTCTTTGACAGACATTTTTCTGTGCTGTCTGTGTCAGGTTAACTTGCCTGAAGAGAAACATTATTCTTTTTAACTGTAGTGGCTCATTTACATGTACATAGACTTAACACACTACAGATGGGAATTCACAGAAAAACACAATGGTGAACAGTCTCCTCACTTATATAGCATATTTTACCCTTGGACAAGTTCTACAAGGCGATTTACAATTTTTTCTCGTTCACCCATTCACGCTCGTATGCCAATAACCGCCATCCAAGGTGCTGGCCATCAAGACAAACTTCATCACTTGGGGCACTGCCAACCTTGCACTCAGTGGACAACCCCCTCTACCACCAGAGCCACTGCCAACAAATGGTTAATTTATGGAAGCATCTACATGCAAATTAGTCCACAAAGATGCTCTACATCAGAGGTGCCCAATCCTGGTCCTCGAGAGCCCCTATCCAGCATGTTTTAGATGTTTCCTTCTTCCAACACACCTGATTCACAGGATCAGGATCGTTATCAGGCTTCTGCAGAGCTTGATGATGAGCTGATCATTTAAATCAGGTGTGTTGAAAGAGGGAAACATCTAAAACATGCTGGATAGGGGCTCTCAAGGACCAGGATTGGGAACCCCTGCTCTACATGGTATAGTTAAGCAGTGAACATCCAGTCTTACTATGTGGCAGGTATAAACATGCTGAGCAGGCCCACTTCATTCTGACTTTCAAAGACTGTTTATTGTTGAGGCACGGATGGCAGGAGCTTCAGTCACAAAGAATGCTTAACTGGAGTTTCAATGGGAACAGTGACTAAAGAGTGCATTTACGTCCATGGCAAAAAAAAAAAAAACAGTAAATGAGGTTGGAAGCTGTTGTTTGATGACCGTGATGTTCATGCAGCTCAAGAGCAGCTCCTCCTCAGGTGGTGTAATCAGTTAGTTGACAATTACAAAAAAGGGAGATATCAGAGTAGGACTGCAGTGTATAAACCCCTCATTACAAAGATGAAAGTGCATGTGAGAGTTCAGTGGTGCACACTGGTCCACAGAGGAGAAGGAAAATAGTGATATAGTCAGATCAGTCATCCATCACCATATTCTTGACAAGTGGGCGAGGGCTTGACCTCCACAGTGAGGGCATCCTGCGGCTCTGCTATACTTCAGGGGGACACTCATGACTTGGGGCCACTTGTCCCTTCAGAGGGAAAGGTCATTGCAAATCAATACGCAGTTGTTCTGAGCGATCACCTTTATCCTCCAATGAAATATTTTCCATCTTCAGTTGCTCACATAGAAAAAAGGAATTTCTATCTCATGTCTTTTTAATGTTTCTAAATCCTCAAACTTTCTGAATGCTTCTAGGCTGACGATAAAATATGACCCTAATGACCCTTTGGTGGCATAACTATCTGGATCTCATTGTCTGTATTTCTGATTGGATGAAGACATTATGTAATATTATTTATGTATTATAATATTTGATACTTTGGGCAAATGACTGAAACCAGATTATTGAAACCAAAGTGATGTTCTGTTGTTTTTTTTCCATAGAAATGCACCTTTTTTTTGTACAAACCTTCTAATATTTGTAGACATTTAGTGTTTAATGTTTTACTGACTTAACTGCAGAAGGAATTCAAAATGGATTTTAAATCGAGACTACCCAAAATGTCAAACGATGTTTATTCGTTGAGGATTGCAGCTAAAGTGCAGTTTAATGTGTTGCTTTAAAAACTTACAACTCTTTCGAAGTCATGAATGAACAAGAATGACTTTGTGTTACTTTTACTGAGCTGAACCGTATTCACATGGTTGTTAGTGGCTCTTTATAAGATATAAATGTGGTCACTTCCTATAATAGTCAAGTAATTACCCTCTTGTATGAAGAGAAAAGTGGTCGCTTTTACTTTTATATGTCGTTTATGAATGTGGTCCTCAGTGCTAAAAAATTGACAGTCAGACCATTAACCTCTCGTATGAAGTGGAAGCTGGTTGATTTTTCCTTTTATATTTTGAGTGTTTATTGAGCAAAGATGCTTCACAGATGATTCAAAGGTCCAAAGTCACATCATGTTCTCAACACGCTAAATGTCAGGCTGCAGTGTAGCAAATTCAAGAAATGAAGGGAAATAAGGAGGAAACGAGAAAGAGTAGAAGGTCAGTTGTTTTCATTCCTGTATTAGACGAGTCTCCTTGCTGCCAGCTCCGGTCACAGTTTTACCCTTTAGACCCGCGGGATATAGTGTGTGTGTGTGTTCATGTGTGTGTGTGCATTTTTGTACATGCAGTTGTTTTGCACTGGGTGTGTGTGTGTCTTTCTGGCTACACACCTTCCCCCAGGCTAAATGGATATGTTGGCTTTTCATAGTTCATCGTTTTCATAGTTTGGACGAAACGCCTACCATTTCTTCCTCTCCTCCCTGCTCCTGTCCTCCAGGTTTTCTTATATTCTTCACTACATCTTCCTGCTAGTTCTTTATGTTGCTTTTATGAATTCCTCCAGTCAGCAGTCTAAAAACCCAGTTTTGTGTTTCTCTGTGTCTCTTTCCAGGATCCGTCCTTCTCACTCCTCCTCCATGATAAACTTCAGGTGCCCAACAGCTCTCGGCGAGCGTGGAACGAACGAGACAGCCGCTGCGACGTCTGCGCCACTCACCTCACTCAGCTCAAGCAGGAAGCTGTGCGAATGGTCCTGACTCTCGACCAGTGGGATTTATCTCCCACCTCTTCCCCTCCGGCGCTGATTGGACGTTACGGATCTCAAGGACCTCCGGGTTCTGTGGGAGCATCTGGAGCACTAGGAGGTCCTGTGTCACGGGAATGGCCTCCTCCTTTTCTTCCTTCCTCCTCCTCCTCCTCCTCCTCAGCTGCTGCTCACTCGTCCTCTCAGTCCCCTTCCCCAAGCCCCAGCCAGACTCCAACGCCCAGCCCGAGCCATGGACCGTCTAACTCCAACCACGGGAGTCCTTCAGCGGGGCAAACATCCAGCTGTGCTCTGACAAACACACAACCTCAAGGCGCAGGGCACAGACTGGGGTCCAAGCCCAGCTCCTTGGGCCTTGGAGGTGGGGTGGACAGAAGGAACGGGTCCTCCAGTTCAGGAAAAGCAGCTGGTGCCCAACAGCAACCAGCGACTGGAGTAAACAGCCCCGGCAATAATGGTGGTAGCAGCAGTAATAATGGGAGCGGAGCAGTGCTGAGTACAGCAGCTCTGCAGGCACACCAGCACCTGAACCGGACCAATGGGGGCGTTACACTATATCCCTATCAGGTAAGCTACCTATAGATGTGTGTGTGTGTCATTCCCACAGAGCTTTAGTTGCCACAAGGACGTTGTAAATATTACCATGGAAACAGAGGGATTTAGTTCTGGTCTTTTATGTTGATGCGGCCAAATGGTAACAGACCACCAACCAGTAGATGAAAACACCTCTTGAGTCTGACAGAGAGGTCAGGAAGGACAACATTTAGATTATTCAGTCTACTGGTGACCTTGTTGGCTATCAAGTACTGGCAATATGTG